TTAATCACGTGCCCCAGGTCACCCAGCCTGGAAGGGGCAGGGCTGGGACTGGAATCCGGGACTGAGGGTTCCCTGTGCTGTCCTCACGCTGCCCCCCAGGGGAACACCAGCTCTGAGCTCTGGGCTCCTCTGCAGGGGCCTGTCCACGTGTCATCTGGAGCTGAGGGTCCTTCCTCATTACCCAGCCCCAGCACAGCAGGGACAGGAGGGGCAGGGTTAGGGGTGGACTCTGAGTCTCTCCCGGGCCATCTCCAACCACAGGGCCCTGACACCCCATGGGAAGGTCGGGCTGGGCTGGGGCTCTGCCTTCCTGAGTTCTGTGAGGCCCTCATGTCACCTCATCTCCCAGCAGCCTGTGAGCAGGATGGGACCAGGGATGAGCAGACAGGAACCCGACACTCATAGGAGAAAAGGTACCGCCCAGCCCCACAGCATGAGCAGCAGAGCCAGAAGCTGAGCCAGGGCTGATCCATCCTGTTCCCTCCTCTGAGCTGAGCCTGAGCTGAGGGGTGGGACTGGGTGCCCGGACCCTTGTCCTGCCTGTCCCTCCCTGTACAGTGTCACCGTCACTGAGACAAAGGGGACAGGCTCCTGGGGGGCTTCCCTGTGAGGTCCCTCTCCCAGGAGGTCAGGGCCAGAACAGACAGGAAATGTAAGATCTGGGCCATGATTCACTGTTTTAACACCTGCAGACATGGAAGCCCAGGCAGGCGAAGGGCGTGTCCAATGAGAGACTTCAGAGGATCCAGACCGTTAAATGGCTCAGCCCCTGTCCCCATAGAGGCACCCACCCCCTCCCCATGAAGACCCCAATTCCTCTCTTTGGGCCTGACTCCCTGGGTCTGGGAGATTGATCCTCAGAGCCCCTGGGGCCTGTGGTTCCCTGAAATCTATCCTCAGCTCCTAGCAGCCTTAGGACACAGCCTCCCCTTAGTGCATGGGTGGCATTAGGTCCTCAGACTCAGATCTGCCCACGGTAGATGTCTCCCTGTGGGCAAAGGAGACCCTGTGGGAGGGGGGTTGGGTCCCAGGGGTTCTGGGAAAGACTAGAAGAGAGTGAGAGTCTGGGGCTGACCCTGGAGACCCCCTCAAACAGAGTCCTCACAAAGTCCCTCCCACCGCCCACCTGGCACCTTCTGGACCAGGTGAGGGGGAGACGTGGAGAGGTGGAGAGGGGAGTCTGAGGTGCAGATCTCCTCTGGGTGACCATCCCTGGAGCCCCTCCCTCCCTTTCAGCCCATGATTGTTCTGGGGACGGGACC